GTTGTTCTCAGATCAGAAGCACTTTCCAAACATGATGACGGCTGAACTTTAGACTTTAAAATATGTGAAATGGTATCCATCTGAAACTCTAGGAATAAGCATGTGCTGCAAATCTGATGGAAAAAGGGTGGTTTAGGGAATTTATGGTTTCAGATACCTATATTTTTTATATTCTGTTATGTTCGAGTGGCAATGTCAATATGTAATGTTATGATTAAACAGGAAAATAATTTTTGAGCATTAATAATTCTTCCTTAACCTTCTCAGGCAACCAAATGTTAATACTGCAATCTATCTGAGCATGAGTCATTCCACCACAAGTCATTCCACCAAAGTCAATAAAAATATTTACATGCATTACTGTTTTCTGGATTAGCTCCTTTCTACCTTTCCACGTGTCTGTAATAGTACCCCTCTCCATAATATCTGAACTTTCCCCAAGAAAGAAGGATCCAGTTTTGTCCTCAACTTCCAATGAGCAATGAACATGATAAACAGCACATTTTAGCTGTGCAACATTTAATAAAATTAATTTTATGCAAGAGACACGACTGCTTTTATAAAGAGATACATCCTATATTGAAGAACTTGAGACTTCCTTCTTCTTCCCCACGCCAGCAATGGTACAACTCCCAGATACCAGAGGAAGTATACATGTAAACTAGTCTCTTGGACCTACCATCAAGCTAGCACACCAAAGTCAACAGGCTTGGAGGAGACTGCTTGTCATTCCAGCCTGTGCATGTCCAGTGTTAATAAAGGAATAGTCAACCCACAATAATAGTAATACAAAAGTGATCCCTCCTGTGACCATCTCAAATTTTCTGAGTGACTACCTAAGGGAGGCGAGTCTCCTTGGCATGCAGCCTGCTCAGGATAGATCTGGTTAAGGGACAGCTAGAGGCTTATATGTCTGGAGCTCTTCTGCTTCAGAAATAGAACTATAAAGTCATTAGTTAGTTCACAGTGAAATTAAATCTAAGTTTCAAAAATTTAGAGCTGAGCTGCCTCTCCTGAATTTTCTAGCTGTACTCACTAGGTTTTTATTTTTTGCCTTTTTATTTTAAAATTTTCTTTTTCATTTAAAATATATAAAACAATAACAACTCAAGAACAGGATTAGTGAAAAAGAAAAATGAATTAAGATGGTTAAAGTGGGATTTTTGGATACCCATAAGAATTTATATTGCAGAAGAGTATATTTGAATCAGTGGCGAACCTGATATGAACTAGGGTGAAGCTATGCAAAGTTTATGCATTAAAAAATTCTCATACAGAACTAAGATTAAAATGTAATTGAATTTGTCATTTCAAAGTATTAGTATCAGATTTCCAGATAATAAGGGCTGACATGCTCCTATGATAATAAAGGGAAAGTTAGCCAAGTAAACAAGTGCTATGTTTCTACTGTAAGGAAATACATGTCTCAATGTGTCATGGCACAGGGTCCTACAGGATGGCTGTGATCTTCCTAAGGCCCCCTTTTCCGTGCCAACTTGACCCAATGGGCCCCCTCGACTCTCGCCCGCCACGTCTTTGATGATAAAATATATATTTGGGAGGCTGCCTTTTACGCCCTCTTGGTCACGTTTTGCTGGACACTCAGACCCCGTGGATTCCTGGACCCCTTGTGGGTCCCACTCTGCAATGGGTGCTTCAAGGGCACCCTAGCCTTATGGGTTATACGTGGCTCCAACCACCCCTTTACCACGCCCCAAGCCTCGCATACGGAACCGACGTTGTTCATCTGGGCCTTGTTATAATTTGGCCCCCTCGTCCTCCCTGGGCCCTGTCTCTGTCCCAGGGACGACGGGGCTAGAGGGAAATCCCGGCCCAGAGCCAGAAGGAACGCTCACTTACACTTCGCAGGAGCCGAGAGCTGTAGCGACGCGCAGGCCAGGAAACCACCCGCGCGGCTCGATAGTCGCGCTTTCATACAGCTGGAGCGGAGTGACGTCAGGGAGAGACGCCACTTGGCGGAGATAAAACGCGGCCCCGAAAGCAGAGGGGGCGCGCTGCAGCAGGACGCGAGGCCCGGGGGAAAGCCCGGGACTGGAAGCGAGCACCCGCACGGGGTCTCTGTCTGGAGCAGAGCAGGCTGCAGCAGCGCCAGGAGCGGCGGCGCCGGGGAGGGGC